CCCTACTCCAACTCACCCCCCACGAGCACCTCAGCTCAAACTGCAAACGCACAGCAGAGAAACCGGAAGTTTAGATGATTTACACTATAAGCCTGATTTCTGCCACCAAGCTCGGACCCCGCGCCAGCAGGACGGTGGCGATGGAGGAGATGTGATTGGAATCCGGAGGCGGGGTCTCGCTGGGTAGCCACTTTCCCCCACCACCCTGCTGTTGCAGCCCAGGCCATTGTGTCTCCGCATTCAGCCCGAGCACTCAAGACGCTGGCTAAATGGATTAGGGGATCAGAGACCCCGCGGCGTCCTCAGAAGCCAAACAGCAGCAGCAGCACGCAGAAAGGGCTGCCCCTTGTGCCCCTCACGCGGTGGGTAGGGGGCTGCTTGGCCTCTGCTCCCACCCTGACCACTGCCCTTTGCCTGCCTGAGAGTACTGGCCTTTCCTTCCCAGGAGGTCATGTGGGGCAGGGAGCTGGGGTAGGCGGATCCACCCTGACTCCCGCCTCTGCCTGCTCCCCCAGGGCACGGAGGAGGTTCGGGTCAACAGCTTGGGGGCTCTGGAGACTTGGCCTCAGCACCATGAGTCCCTGCTGCCTGGATGTGAGATGGCAAGGTCCACTGGGGAGAGGGAAAGTGGGGGGGAGCTCCTAGGTTCAGGGACCACCTCAATTCTCTGACTTCCCATTTAAAGCAATTCCAGGATTTTAGGCAGCTCCGGGATCTCCTTGGCCACAAAGTGACTTTCCTGGGTGTTGGACCTCTCCCTCCACTGAAAACAAATGTTAAACAATAAATGTCGCAACTGTATTGGTTGAAGATGAATAAGTTGATATTATATATTAACACATTGTCTTCCACCTAAAAGTTCCTGTTTTCTTTTCATTTAAAAATAAATTAAAACATTGTCATGGGCCTCTAACTGTACTGTGGGTCCCACATCCAGTGCTTTCTGTGCTGACAAACCAGCTGCCCTCAGAGGGCCCATTCTCAGAGGTCCTTAGTGGGAGCGAAGAGGATCTCTATCCAGCTTCAGAAGCAGGGGCACAAAAGGCCCCCAGCAGTCCCCAGGGGTGACCTTCTGTGGCCTTTCAGCTCAGGAGCTATAATTAGAATCCCTGGCTCCACCAGGCTCGGAAGACATGGGAAGTTCTCCCTCGGCAGCTGAGCAAGCACCCAATCACTGGGGACTTTTTACTTGGAGACCATTTATCTGATCCCTGGGGTGGGCAGCCATAGCCAAGGAAATGTTTGGGGGTTGGAGGTTGCTCCTCCATACAGGCTCAGGGACATATCCAGGCAGCTGGGAGGGCCATCACTCCCAAAGCACAGAGGCCCTACCTCCTAGCTGTCTCCTGGCCATCCACCCTGGATTGCAAACTTCAGCCACCCACTTCCCTGCTTGCCCTCTATGCCTGGAGCCAGGTCCAGGCCAGCTAGATATGGCAAGAACATTCACCAGGACACCTCTGAGACCTGGCGAACTGCAGGGCCACAAGGCTTGAACTCAGTGTCTGGTACCCACAGATTCTCCTTTGGGGTTCTGGAAGCCCAGCTGACTCATCAGTGCTGGGTTCTGCGATGTGGTCATGCAGCACAGGCTGTAGAGTCCCTTAGGGCCGTACAAGTTCCCAAGGCCCAGGCACCCCAAACCTTCAAGGAACCCCCCTACCCAGCAACCTTCCTTGGGCTGGGCTTCCTTCCCTCCTGTCAAGCCCCACCCCCAAACTTTTCACAACCATATACCTGCTGGCAAACTGAACCCTGTCACTTTCTGGAGAGTATTGAGGGCTTCAGTGTCCCCAAATCAGTGTCCATAAACCCAACGTCTTTACCTGGAAGGTCCAGCCTCACCCTGAGCCTGCCTTGAGAGGAACCATCTGGAAGGGAAGGGAAGAGAAGAGGGAGGCTGAGAAGAGGACTGAAATGGAAGTGCCTAGCTGGGGAGAAGAGTTCTGGCAAAGGGACCAGGGTTCCCAGCCTCCCACATAGGTCCAAGAGCACCTGGGAACCACAGCCCACCCTGCCTTCCCTCTCTCCTTTTCTTTCCTTCTCCTTCCCTCTTTCCTCCCCTCCCCATCCCCCTTCTTAGCTTCTGAGCTCTGATAGAGTCCCATCTACAAGGACAACTGAAACTTTATAGGGCATGATTCATCTGGTGGCGCGCCCCTCGGAGCCAATGCGCGTATGACATTAATCAGTGTCAGACCACTAAAACCAAGATATGAATATGAATTCTCCATATTGCAGGCTAGATAAATGTGCTGGGGATATAATTGATGGGAGGGGGAGGGAAGAGTGGTGGGAGCAGAGACTCCTGCAGGTCACAATCGGGGTGGGGCCTGGGCCCACTCCTCAAGTCCTTAGGCCAGGAATCTAGAAGGCCTGTGCTTCAGACGATCCTGTCACCTGGGCACCAACCAGCCTGGGCTGAGGCAGAAAGAGGAATGTCTCCAGACAGGATTTCTTAACCTCCCCCATCAGAAGACTCAATGGAGACAGAAATCTGTCCTGGACACAGGGTAGTCTGTCACCTATGGAGGAGGGGGTACCAAGGTGCAAACATTAATCCTGCAGACATCCCTCAAGTCTATCCCTTTTTGGGTTCAGGCTCCTCCTTGCAGGTCACAGAACTACTGCCACCCTCTGAGTCTGTCCCTGGGCAGGGGTGGAATGGGACAGCAGCTTTGCGGTGGCAGAAAGCTGCAAAGGAACTTCTGCTTTGGCTTTCAGGGAAAAAAAAGTGGGTGTCTATGTCTCTCCCCAGATATTTTAGGAGCTGAAATGATATTTGCACAGGCATTCCCATGGGCCCTGCAAGCCCGCAGGCTGCACACGCCTAGGTAGCTGCGTTGTTGGGAAAGATGTAAACAAATAGCACAGAAAGAACAAAAATGCTCTTCAGTGCTCCATTAAAAATTCATTTCTAGCTTCTCCTTCAAGAAAAATAATTCTGGGGCTGGTGATCTGACTTCTTTGTACAGGAGGCCTCTCTAGTCCCCCAGGAGTGAGCACAGGCCTTACTTACATGCTACTGAGTTCTGAGGCCTGGAGTCCTGCTGGTGAGCACCTGCTGGCCCAGCCACCTAAGGGACAGCACTGAGGATCCCAAATGTATCGGATTAAAAACTGGACTTATAGGTGGGCGAGCAGCAGATGCCTGTCTGGACCTTCCTATTTGATTTAAGAGAGTAGAGGCCTGCTGGCAGAAGACTCTACTGCCCAGCTGAATCCCACCTGCTGCTTCCAGCAGTCACGCAGAAGGGGTCTCCCAGCACACTGGATGCCAAAGCAGCATGTCCTTGGGCCAAGGACTCCATTCCTCCTCAAAAGCCTCAGGACACCGCTGGTGCACACTATCTCCAAGAGCTCTGGAAGGAGGAGAGCCCAGGGCTCTGACCTCCAAAGCCCTAGAGGAGGAACTCCTCTCTGAATCCGCATAACCCACTTGAGACAATGAAAATGACCTGCTTGGAGTCTGGGACCCACTCCCCCCGTCCCCCCTCCAATACCAGCAGCCTACCCAGCAGGCCAGGCACCGCTTTCCCAAAATTCGAACAAGTGGGTGGCGCCCAAGAACACAAAAAATCACAAAACACAAATCTAAGCTTTTGTCCGCGGCATTCCCAAGGGCCAGCACCCCCAAATTCTGCACCACACCCCAGGAGAACTGCGCTGCCTTCAGGGCCTCATTCCGCTTTCGGCCCATAGAGGGCGCCTCGAACACGTCCATTCGGACTGGAAGCGGCTCCACCACGGCCTAAACCGGC